ACTCCAGCCTGGGCAACAGAGTGAGACTCTGTCGCAAAAAAAAAAAAAAAAAAAAGAGAGAGAGACTGGAGAAACAGAGACCCTCCCCTTCCAGGCCCCAAGCGGACTTGGCCAGCTCTGGGGGCAGGGTCCACACATCCAAGGAACTGGGACTCCCTGATGCCACCCCCACAAAGCCTGAGAGACTCCATCACAGCAGCTGACGTGTATGGTAAGGTACAGAGTGTGGCACGGGAGTCAGTCAGAGTCCCAGTTTCTGTATTTACCCACAGTGTGTCCTGGGCGAGTCACTCTAGTTCTTCTTGTTTTGTACGCTGGGGACGCTAGTGCCTGTCACAGAGCTGTTGTGAGCTTAGGAAGAGCTCACGTGGGGCGGCACCCGCCATGGCACCCAGCACCCGGCGTGTAATGGGCACACAGTAAAGAGCAGTGTCCTTCCTTCCCTTTCGGCGAGGCTGTGACTCTACCTGCCTTGACCAGTCATCTCCCAACCCGGGAAGAAAAGCTGGACAACGCATGTGCCTGCTGCTATCCCAGCCCACAGCGACCAGGACACCGAGTACCAGGTGGCACTGCCTCTTCCTCCAGGCCTGAGGGGAGTGGGAGGGGCAGCTCCAGGGAGGGAGGTGGAACTGCCGGGGGTGGGGCCGCCCGGAGAATGGGCTCTCACCTTCAATCGGCAGCATCCAAAATGATGGCCACCTACAAACATTGAGTCCATGTGGCACCAAACTAAGTGCATGGTTATATGTGTGTTGTCTCATTGAAAAGTCACGTGGGCTATGACTGGCTTTGTTCTACTGACAAAGAAAGGGAGGCCCAAATAGGTTAAGGAAACTGCAGGCATGGCGTGGTGGCTCATGCCTGTAATCCTAGCACTCTGGGAGGCCGAGGCAGGCGGATTGCTTGAGGTCAGGAGTTCGAAACCAGCCTGAGCAAGAGCAAGACCCTGTCTCTACTATAAACAGAAAGAAATTAATTAGCCAACTAATATATATAGAAAAATATTAGCCAGGCATGGTGGCGCATGTCTACTACTCGGGAGGCTGAGACAGCAGGATCACTTGAGCCCAGGAGATTGAGGTTGCTGTGAGCTAGGCTGACGCCATGGCACTCACTCTAGCCTGGGCAACAAAGTGAGACTCTGTCTCAAAAATAAAAGAAAAAGAAAAAAGAAGGAAACTGCAAAAGGTCACACAGATGCAGAGCCAGGACTGGAACCTGGGTCTACCTCATCCCCAGTACAGTGCTGTTAACCCTCACCATGTGCCACCTCCCTCATGCCCCTTCCTCGCCAGTCCACCACGCACCCTGGGCACTCTCCAGGGAGCAGCTACCGCAGACACCACCTGCTCTGTGATGTCATCGAGAGCCTGCTCTAGGAGTCCTGGCCACAGTGGGCTTGTCCTGTCCCACCTGCTGGGCCTCCGTGGAGCTGGGGTAGGGTCAAAGGACAAACCCGAATGACACAGAGCTGGGTTGGCACCAGGACAGTGGCAGTCTGGGGGAAGGGGCCAGTACGAGAAAGGGGCCCACACAACTGGCCCTTCAGTTGGCTGGTTAGTGGTGCCATCCTCCATACAGTTCCTTGTTCGAAATGGAGCACTGAGCCCCGGAAATCAGGACAAAAGCACCACCCACAGCTCTGGTCTCGATGACTCAGATTCCACCTCCCACAGCCTCCTCCTGTGCGTGTGTCTCTGAGAGTGTGTGTACCCGAGAGTGTGCCGTGCCCTGCCAGCGCGTGAGGCTGTCAGCTGTGTGCGTGTGTTCACGTGTGTGTGCAGGGATGAGCCCACCCGTGCACATGCCTGGGCTACCTCCATCTGCATATCTGTCTCCCAGCGCGAGCCCTCAGAACGTGATGACCAGCAGGGTCGATGACAAGCACAGCGTTAACAGCCACATGCTCCCTGTGTTCAAAGGCTACGTATGCGCCCAGCACTCCACGTGCAGAACAGCGTGGAGCCTTTACAGCAGCCTTATTAGGTAAGCGACATCATTATTCCCATTCTGCTGATGATGAAATTGAGACTCAGAGAAGTCAAACTGCTTTTCCAAGGTCACACAACCAGGAAACAAAACGGTGAAATCATCAGATGCCAAAGTCTGTGCCCAATTAGATGTGCTTCCCTCCTTGCCCCCTCTTGGGAGTTTGGAGAGAAGTCAGAAGGGTCCTTTGTAACCAGAAGCCAGCCAAGATCCCTGAGGGAAAAGGAGCCAGAAGCCAGAGCCTTGGAGAAGGAGAAGGGGGGCAAATAGCAGATAGATGCTGAGCAGGAGGGGGCAGGGCAGCTGTCTCTCAGAACAGGTGTCAGAGAAGCTGTGACAGCCACTTAGAACCACAGTGGCAAGCCTCCTTTACATGGCTATTTGCATATATTTGCATGTATTTGCATCACCAAATCTGTGGAATCGGCCTTAATGGTCCTTGCCTCAGAAGGTTGGCAGAAGCTGAAAGAATGGGAGTGACAGGGAGGGCCTGGGGAATTCAGGACGGGAACAGGGAAGAGGCAGAGCTGTGGAGGCCCTGGGAGGCGCCGCTAACAGCCAATTTCTAGGGGAAAGAAGGAAGAACCTCTCCCAGGTACCCTGGGAAGTCTCCTCGCCCTGAGTCCATCTCCTGGGGGCAGCAGGGAAGGAGACCGTGCATGCAGAAGTCCGGGAGAACACAGGAGGTTGGGGACGTGTGCCAGTGGGCAGCAGGGAGAGCCTCGCGCTCGAGTCCCCGCTGGGGGTCGCCCACTTGGCCGCCGGAGCTCGGTGGCCCGGTGTTGGGGCGCCATCTAGTGGCCATGCTCGGCACCGCGCCCTCTTCCTCTGGCCGCAGCCCCTTCCCGTCGCGCCTGTGTCCAGCAGCAGGAGGGAGCCGGGGGACCCGCGACTTTCTGGAGAATCACGGGCAGGGCGCTTCCCACTCAGGCCAGGCGAGAGCGAATGGCTGATACAACGCAGTGGCGAAGAGCTTAGGCCTTGGAGTCAGAAAAACGTTACCCCTGAATCCGTGTCCCCATCTGTAAGATGGAGGTGCTGAGATTTACTTGTGAGGACGAAAGGAGACAATACAGGTTAAGAGCTTATGAGCAGGGCCAGGACTAAGATGAATTAAGTGAGGTGCCCAAGGCACAAAATGTAAGGATTTAGGACTTTCACGACCTTGAGACCTCCTTAAAATTTGTGCCATGGGCTGTTTACTCCCTGCACCCTATTCCCGGGCCTGCTTGTTAGCGCAACACCTGCCGCAGGAGCTACTGTTGTTGTCATTATTATTATTGTGGTGAGGGTGCGGAGGCCCTGGGAAGGCAGCGCCCAACACCTGTGCCCATCTGGCCTGGTCTGGCAGGGGTGTCATAGGAGACAGGCTGCTTCCCAGTGAGTCAGGAAGAAAGAGGAAGTCACAGGCAGATAGGACTCAAAGGGCCATAGTGGGTCACAAACCGAGTGGAACCTTCTCAAATTCCCCATGACCAACTAACCGATTGACAAGGAAAGGACTGGGGCCTGGTTCACAGATGGTCAGTGTGATATGCTGGTGAGAGTCGGACGTGGACTACTGCCCCCTTGCGGCCCTCCTGGGGTAGCCCTAAAGGACGGTGGTGAAGGGAAATCCCAGTGCGCAGAGCTTTGAGCAGTCTTCTTGGGCAGCAGCTTTGTCTAGCTAAATGACAAGGTAGCCTGGGCTGTGGGCATTCCCTGACTCCTGGGGAATGGCGAACGTCTCGTTTGGTTGGTCAGAGCCTGAAGGAACAGGACCAAAGGTCAGTAACAAAGTGGCCCAAGAAAAAGGTAGCTGGATGGACTTCTGGGAGTGGGCACCAACGGTGTAAACCTCTAGGGCTCAAGTCAACACGCTGCAGGGCATCTACTGCCAGGAGGCTTTTAACAGCGAGGTGGGATGATTCACCTGAGTGACTTGCCCTGTCCACCCTGAGTGCCTGCACAGTAGCCCTTGAACACAGCAGTTGTGGTGCCAGAGCTGGGGGCTATGCAGGGCCCAGCAGCAGGGGCTCCCTCTCCCCGAGGCTCAGTGGGCGTTCTTGGTGCTCAGCCTGCTACAGCCCAGAGCGGCTGAGCCCTTTGCATGACTCTCTTCAGATGACCGGCCACGCCCCTGGTGGCAGGCTGATTGCACTGAACCCTGGGGCGGGGCAGCAATCCATCCTGCTGGAACCAGAGCATGCTCCAGATTTGGGCTTGCCTTCCACAGTGCTGCCACCAAAGAAAGTACAAAAATGGGATCATCGAAGACTTTTATAGTTTCAGCTCTTACATTTAGGTCTTTGATCCATTTTGAGTTCATTTTTGTATATGGTGTGAGGTAGCAGGGGATGATGATCAACAGATTCGTTGGTCTTACTTGGCTGTACCTCATCATCCAGAAGCAGCCCACCTGATAGAGTAGCGGGGTGGCCTGCTGAATGCTCAGTGAAGACACTGGCAGAGGTGGGAAGATCCCTTGAACCCAGGAGTTCAAATTCAGGGCAGCATAGTGAGACCCCATCTCTGCAAAAAATATATATTTTTAAATTAAAAATATATATTATATATTTTATATATGTACATATAAATATATATTATATATTGTTATGTATGTAAATATAAATATATATATGTGGGTTTGGTCCCTGAGCCCCTTGACATGGCATTTGTTTTGAACAGTACTATGTAATTGCAGGTCCTGGAGTCAGATGTGGAAGTGGAAGTGGAAGTGGAAGTGGCTCATCTCACGCTCACGTTTGCAGAGTATTTGCTTCCTGCCCCCAAAACTTCAGGCTGTACCACTTAGAGATCCTAGTTCCCAGGGAGGGAGAACTCATACCAGGGAACACAGAAAAGTTTCCACTAAATTGGAAGCTGTGACTGCTACTTGGCCACCTTAGGCTCCCGTGCCAGGGGACCAGTAGACAAAGAAGGGCATCACTGTGCTGGCTGGGGTCATTGGTCCTGACCGCCACACAAGGAACCAGGGCTGTAGAGACAGTGACGGCCAGCAGGGGTATATCTGGACCCAGCCAGGAGATTCACTGGGGCATCTCCTAGAACTTCTCACCCCATAGTAACTAACAATGGACAACCTCAACACTGACAGTTCTAAAAGGACAGGGCAACCAAGGAATTGGGGATAGGAGTCTGTGTAATCTCATCAGGCAGGTAGCCCAGCTCTGCAGAGGGGTAGCTGAAGTAAGCGAGGGAAAGAGAGAATATGAATTATGGACTAGGACAAGCCATAGCCTTGGGGACCGTGGCTCGCTTCATTAGCCCTCTTGCCTCTATCTTCCTTAAGATCACATCCGGCGCTACCTTTGAGGGGACTTGCTTACCGTAGACTCTACCTCCACTCTCGAGGAAAGAGTGATGGTCCTTATCATGGTATGGAAGTTGGCTATAACGGGAGGGTTCCAGTGGATCCTAGTGGCCCAAGAGGTGAGATTTCTTCTCAAATTCCTTGACTGCCTCCTTGCTCTCTCTGAGGTTGCGCCTCCACTTCCAGACTTAGACGAGATGCCGCACTGTGCAAGGTGGAATGTGGTTTCTAAGAACCACCAAGGGTCAGATAACAGAACCCAGAAGCGTGGGGTGTTGACTCTGTGGGGTGAACCTTGACCCATGGAAGACAGGCCATGGATGGGAGCTGTGGACTTCTCCAAGGTGTGTTTCCTCCTTACCCTCCGGAGAAGCCCCACCGCCTGCTGCGAGACACCTTCTGAGCAAGCAGCCTGGGTATCTTTTTGAGGCTCCTGTGAATCGGTGATCAGGACGGTGAGGCATTGCACCACCTTGCCTGGCATCTTCCGTTCCCATATTTCCCTTTCCTCACCTCAGCTCCCTGGCCTTCCACCCAAATCCTGGCCACAGGCTCTGCTTCTAGAAGACCTGACTAAGACAAGGGGTTTCCTGAGAGCTGTCACCCCTCTGCGTCCCACACTGCGGTCAGTGCTGGGGCCTGAGTCTGACCACTCCAGCATCTCTGCTGAAACGAAAGAAATTGAGACTCTGGGGGCAGGAACCAACCAGCCACTTTCCAGACGGGAGACGAAGGGGGTGGACATCTGAGGGATGAAGGAGGAGGGGGCAGGCAGAGGCAGGAAACAGGCCTGGAGAGCAGAGTATAGGAAGTTAAGTCCCAATGGAAGTTGTCTCTGTAAATAGTTCTGTGCAGGGAGTTTTCTGGGAGGGAGTAATCAGATCCTGGAGGTGAGAAGGAAGAACAAGATTCCCTTCCACCTCCTTTGAGTGGACACCCCCTCCATGCATGGCTGGAACTGGGTTCCTCCAAGCATCCCCCAGGCCTGGGTACTGGGGAATGGGTCTGACTCTTAGAGGCTCCGGACAGTGACAGCAGCATGGTGATGCTGGGGGCAGGAGGCCGCAGCAGGCAGAAGATCCCAAGCATCAGAGCAGTGACCTCCCCCTTTTCCAGGGCAGGGAGGCCGGCGGGGGCTGTACTGAACTGAGGTCGAGGCAATGCCCCTCTGGCCTAGGTCTCTGCTATGATTTGAATGTTTGTTTCCCTCCAAATGTCATTGTGAAACTTAATCCCCAATGCAGCAGTATTAAGAGGTGAGGCCTGTGGGAGGTGGTTAGGCCATGAGGGCTCTGCCCTCATGAAAAGATTAGTGCCTTACAAAAGGGCTTGAGGGGCCGAGCCCTTCCGTCCCTTGCACCATGTGAGGGTGTGGCATTTGTCTCCTCCGGAGGATGCAGCATCAAGGTGCCATCTTGGAAGCAGAGAGCAGCACTTGCCAGTCACTGAACTTGCCAGCACTTTGATCTTGGACTTTCCAGCCTCCAACCATGAGAAATAAATTTCTGTTGTTTTAAAATGACCCAGTCTCAGGTATTTTGTTATAGCAGCACAAATGGACTAAGACAGTCTCCCAGCCTCTGGCTACTCCCGATGCCCTCGTTCATAAACACTGCAGGCCAGGGCCACAACCCCATCCCCAGCACAGCCTCACACTCCAGTGGAGTTCCATGCCCCAAGAGGAATTGGCCCAGTGGCAGTTTGGTGGTTTATAGGGAGGTAGGGCAGGAGGAAGTTCAGGCAGAGACTGCACAAAGAGACCAAATGTCCTTAATATCACCCACCCCCGCCTTCACTCTCCCTGCCTTTCTTTGGGTGTGTGGGAGGTGCACCAGGCTAGGGCAGAAGTCTTGGCTTAAAACCATGGTCTGTCAGCTTCCAGGGTCATCCCTGTCATTCTTCTGCCTCCAGGCAAAGCCCCACTTCTGCAGTTTTCAAAGGAGAAAGAAGGTAAGCGATGAGGGGCCCCAGCCCCAGAGAGTCTGCAGTCTGCCCTGCCTGCCTGGGGTGTCTAAATGGTATTGGAGGGGGCTGCCTTTGGTAGAGGAGGGGTGTGGGGAGGGGTTCATAACTGTAATCAGAGTCTCAAAAAAGTTTAAATCTGCCTTCTCTGTCCAACATTGGTAGCTAGTAACTACATGTGGCTGTTTAAATTTAAATCAATTAAAATGAAATAAAATTAAATACTAAGCTCTCCTGGCTCCCCAGCCACATTTCAACCTCTCAATGGCCACGTGTGGCCTCTGGCTACCATATTGGACAGCACAGATATAGAACAGAAAATTCTATTGGACAGTATTTATTGCCCATTAATTTTATGCATAGGGAAACTGAGTCCAAAAGAGGGGATGACTTACCCAAGACCCCAAGGAGAGTGAGTGGTAGCTATAGCTCCAGATGCCCTTTGTAAAGTGTTTTACAATAAAATTGCATTAAAATATCTTTTTATTCAAATGTCATTCTGTAAAATTAAACAAAATATGTATCTTCTTATAAATATAGCTGATGTTAATAGCCCAGGGTGGAAGGAAACAGGGCCCCAGGTGTGGGGGTGGGGCTGGGGGAGGGAGGTATTCTGTGTTTGTTCCTCCCTGCCCCAGCCCTCCAGGATAAAGGAGGCTTGGAGGCCTGGAACTTCCTCCCCTCCCCCATGATGACTTCATCCTCACAAAAATGTGAGGAGGGCAGTGAGGAGGGGGTGAGTGAGGGTAGTTCTGGAGTTTGGGGGAAATGTCACAGCCCTCAGGCCAGAGGAATTGGGGGTGGGGAGAGCTTTGCTGATCCTAGCCAGTCTCCATGCAGCCATCTTCCTAAAATTCAAATCTGAATCTATCACCCCATTCTTAAACTCCTCCCTAGATCCCCATGGCTCTTGGACTGGAGACCAAAACCCAGTCAAGATCTATAAGGGCCTGCATGGCCTGGTTCCTGATGTCCCTTCAGTCTCAGCTGGACTCAAGCTCCCCAGCTCTTTGCTCTGTCTCTCTTACTTGCTCCTACTTCAAGGCCTTTGCACTTGTGATTCTTCTGCCTAAACATTCCCTCTCACCCTCACTTACCAGCTACCCATCTTTCTGATCTCAGTTCAAGCAAAGCTCTAGGGAGAAGTCTCCCAGACCCCCAGGCCAGGCCAGCGGTCTCTATTAGATGTTCTTTTTTTTTTTTTTTTTTTTGAGACAGAGTCTTACTTGTTGACCAGGCTAGAGTGAGTGCCGTGGCATCAGCCTAGCTCACAGCAACCTCAAACTCCTGGGCTCAAGCAATCCTTCTGCCTCAGCCTCCCGAGTAGCTGGGACTACAGGCATGTGCCACCATGCCCAGGTAATTATATATATATATTAGTTGGCCAATTAATTTCTTTCTATTTATAGTAGAGATGGGGTCTTGCTCTTGCTCAGGCTGGTTTTGAACTCCTGACCTTGAGCAATCCGCCCGCCTCAGCCTCCCAGAGTGCTAGGATTACAGGCATGAGCCACCGCACCCGGCTTCTATTAGATGTTCTTATAGTGCTTCCCCTCAGAAGACTCATCTTGGTTTGTGCTTACACATTTATTTGGAAGTTCTTTAATAAACACCTCACTTCCCTAGCAGATCATGCTCCCACATAGTCTGTTGTACACATTATTGTGTCTCTAAACCCTTGAGAGGTGCTTTGTCCAGAAGAGATGCTCAATAAACATATGAGAAATAGCTGAAATGATAGAATGGGAATGCTCCTTCCTGTAAGAAATATGATCCTCCAGCCCACTCCCTGCTCCCCTCGTCCCATCTCATCATGACCAAATGTGGGCGATGGCTACGTCCCCCACCACCCAGAAGGTGAGGACAGGGGAACGGGTGAGACCTGGAGGACAGGGAGATAATGGAGGTGATCAGGAGTTGCAGGGGTGACAGGAAGTTGAGTAAGAAAAGTGGTGGAACCAACAAGATGACAACTGAGGACAAGGGGTGCAATGTGGTCTAATTTGGCAATAGGATGCCACGGGCTGATTAAAAAGGGTAATGGGATATGCCAGGGTGACGGGGAAGTGGGCAAGCCAGATGTATTCCAGAGTTACGGCAGAAGTGGCTTCCAAGGTGATTATGGCTTCCTCGTGTATTGTTTGGCCAGGAGCAAAGAGAGACCTGGAAGGAGGCGTTGGAGAGTTCCCGTCCACATCTCCCCATTGTTTGGTTCTGTCCCCTCCTCTGCTCTCTAGCGTCCCTTTTGTTCCCCGTGTTAGGGTTAAGATTTAAGATTTACCAATGTCGTGTTTCTTCCTACTCCTCCATCCCTGCAAAATGCCAGAGACGCTAAATCGAACTGCACACTGAGGAGCATGCGGAAGAGAAAACCGGGCTGGCTACCGGAAGAACTCTGGGGAGATGAGGTACGGAGGAGTGAGAAGTCCAAGACAATTGAGGTTTGCGGGCAACATAGAAGGGTTGCTACAGGTTATGTCTTTTGAGAGATGAAGCACTGGAGAAACTGTTCATTCTCTTTGGTTTCTGGACTGTACCTTATTATTATTATTTTTTACTGTTCTTTTTTTAAATTTTTTTATTTTAGCGTATTATGGGGGTACAAGTGTTAAGGTTACTTATATTGCCCATGCCCCCCTCCCCCCTCGAGTAAGAGCTTCAAGCATGTCCATCCCCCAAACGTTGCACATCTTACTTATTGTGGTTGTATATACCCCTCCCCTCCTCCCCATTCCCACCCTTCCAACACCCGATAAATGTTACTCCTATATGTCCACTTAGGTGTTAATCCATTAATACCAATTTGCTGGTGAGTACATGTGGTGCTTGTTTTTCCATTCTTGAGATACTTCACTTAGTAGAATGGGTTCCAGCTGTATCCAGGAATATACAAGAGGTGCTATATCACCATTGTTTCTTAAAGCTGAGTAGTATTCCATGGCATACATATACCACATTTTATTAATCCACTCATGAATTGATGGGCACTCGGGTTGTTTCCATAGCTGGTATAAACATTCGAGTGCAGATATCTTTTTCATAAAGTGACTTTTGATCTTTTGAGTAGATGCCCAGTAGTGGAACTGCTGGATCAAATGGTAGATCTACTCGTATCGCTTTGAGGTATCTCCATATTGCTTTCCACAGAGGTTGAAGTAGTCTGCAGTCCCACCAGCAGTGTAGGAGTGTTCCTCTCTCTCTGCATCCACGCAAGCATTTGTTGTTTGGAGACTTTTTGATAAAAGCCATTCTCACTGGAGTTAAGTGATATCTCATTGTGGTTTTGATTTGCATTTCCCTGATGATTAGAGATGTTGATCTTAGGTATTATTCATTGTGTCTGAAAAGATACATGGTATAATTTCTATTTTTAATGTTTGAGACATGCTTTGTGTCCTAGGATATGGTCAATCTTAGAGAGATGACCCATGAGCTGATGAGAAGAATGTATATTCAGTGTTTTGGTAGAATGTCCTGTAAATGTCAGTCAGGCCCTTTGTTCTATGGTTCTGTTTAATCCATTATTCTTTGTTCATTTTCTGTTTGGAGGTATTTCTGTGCTGTCAGTGGGTGTAAAGTCTCCAACTATTATGGTGTTGTTGTTTATCCTTTTTAGTTTAGATCAAGTAGAGTTGATTTATGAATTCGGGTGCACCAAAGTTGGGTGCATATATATTTAGAATTGTTATGTCTTCTTGTTGAACTGCACTCTTCACCATTATATAGTTGACTTCTTTGTCTTTTATACTTTTGTTGATTAAAAACTAAGTTATCTGTAATCAGCACCACCACCCCAGCTTTCTTTTGGCTTCCATTTGCTTGAAATATCATTCTCCACCCCTTTACCTTTAGTCTAATTGCATCCTTGCAGTTAGATGTGTTTCTGAAAGCAGCAGATACTTGGTTGTGTTTTTATCCAATAGGCCAGCCTATGTCTCTTGAGTGGGAGTTCAAGCCATTCACATTTATTGAGATAACTGATAATGGGCAGATTTCTGTTCATTATGTTGGGTTGAACATTGTGTTTTGTTTCTCTCTTGAGCCATTGTAGTGTTGGCTTTGATCTTTAGCTTTGAGTAGATTTACATTGTTGAGTGTTTATTGTGCTGATCCGTGGTAACACTGTTTTGACTACTTCTTGGAAGGGCTGGTCTTGTCTTGGTGAATTCCCTCAGTCTTTGCTTATCTGAGAATGTCTTGATTTCTCCTTAATATACAAAACTTAGTTTTGCAGGGAATAAGATTCTAGGCTGGGCATTTTCTGTTTCAGAAGAGTGAGAATGGGGCCCCAGTCTCTCCTTGCTGTAAATCTCAGTAAAGAAGTCTGGTGTTATTTGAATGGCTTTCCCTTGTATGTTACTTGCTTCTTTTGTCTTACAGTCTTAGAAGGCCTCTTTATTGATACTTTGGTCAGTCTGATGACTGCATGTCGTGACGTCTTCCTGTTTGCGTTGAATCTCCCAGGGTCCTCTGAGCTTCTTGAACTTGTAATATCAAGATTTTGAGCAAGGCCTGGAAATTTCCTCTATTATATCTTCAACAGCTTGTCCAACCCTTGAGTGTGTCTTCTTCCCCTTCTTGTAACCCTATGACCCTCACATTAGTTTTTCACATAATCCCACAGCTCTTGTAGGCTTGCTCTTTTCTTGTTTCTCTGCGTCTATTTCTGTGACTGATTTATTTAATTGGAGGGTGTTATCTTCAGCTCTGAGATTCTTTCTTCTGTTTGATCTTACCCTGTTCTGAGACTTTCCATGTATTTGTATTTTTGAATGATTCTTCATTCCAGAATTCAGTTAAACTTTTCTTCATTGTATCGATTTCTTTAGTGAACTTTTGTTCCAGGTCCTGGAGCTTTTGTGGTTTCTTTGTGTTGGTATTGAGTTGTTCTTGCAGGTCATTGAATTTTCTTATGACCACATTCGGAATTCCTCTTCTGTCATTTGGATTTAGTGATTTTGGTTGGTGTCCATTCTAAGGGCTGGTGTCCTCTTTGGGCATGTGATTTCCGTTTGGTTCTTCATATTTCCGGAGTTCCTTCGCTGATTCTTCTATGTCAATCAGTTGCTGTTTCTTTCCTTTAGGTTTTCGTTGGTTTCACACGCCTTGTTTAGTTCTGAGCTGGTAGGTGGTGTCTGTGGGTGAGATTCGACCACTCCCTGTATAATGAGTCAGTAGGTGCCGTGAAAAGGGTGTGCAGGGTGTCCTCCTTGTCAGTAGGTGCACTTGCTTGGAGGAACAGGCTATGCTGTTGTTTTGTGACTGTGACCAGCTTTTGTTCCTCTAGAAAGGCACTCTATGTGTCTCAGGTGGTGGGTGGGGCCTGGGACTTCCAGGTCCTTCCCCCTCAGTGAGGGCTGGTCTGGGTGAGTCTGACGAGCTGGTTGGGGTTA